AAGATCTTAATCAGAATTATTTACTGCACAACAGAAACACTAAAACTACCTACCAGGAGTACAGGATAAGACAGGACAGTGCTCTACACTAAAGCAATTGTTGAAGCAATTCTACTCAAGCTGGCACAAAAGCAAGAATTCTTAATTAGAGATGGATGGAACTCCCCCAGACCAACGCTCGGGGGGAGATCTCTGCTCTCATCCTCCAGCAGTGACCTTGGGGGGTCCCCAGCCAAGGCAGGAATCTCCAAACACCCTGCCAGGAAGGGTTCTGTTGGCAGAAGCTGCCCCTGTGAAAGGGGAGTGGCTCTTTGAGGTCGAAAGGGATGGACTGACAGTCACTGGACTCCAGGGGTTGCCTCAGCATCAGGGGCTTCATTCGGGGTGGAAGCAGCGGCCGAAGCTCTTCCCGCAGTCGGGGCACTCGCAGGGCTTCTCTTACTGGTGGGTCTGTTGGTGTTTGGTCAAGGTAGAGCTGTGGGTGAAGCTCTTCCCACACTCCCCACACTTGTAGGGCCTCTCCCCGGTGTGGATGCGCTGGTGGGTAACAAGGTTGGAGTTCTGGTTGAAGCCCTTCCCGCAGTCGGTGCAGCGGAAGGGCCTCTCATCCGTGTGCGTCCATTGGTGCTGCATGAGATTCGAGCTGCATTGAAACCTCTTCCCACACTCCCCACACTCGTAGGGCCTCTCCCCCGTGTGGATGCGCTGGTGGGTGACAAGCGTGGAGTTGTACTTGAAGCCCTTCCCACAGTCGGTGCAGCGGAAGGGCCTCTCATCCGTGTGCGTCCGCTGGTGCACGATGAGAACTGAGCTGGTGTGAAACCTCTTCCCACATTCCCCACACGTGTAGGGACGTTCCCCAGTGTGGATGCGCTGGTGGCTGATCAGGTTGGAGTTGTCACTGAAGCTCTTCCCACATTCCCCACATGGGTAGGGACGTTCCCCAGTGTGGATGTGCTGGTGTCGGAGCAGGTGGGAGCTCAGCCTAAAGCTCTTCCCACATTCCAAGCACCTGAAGGGCTTCTCCCTGCTGGGAGGCTGCTCTGGGACCACCAGCTCAGAGCTCTGCCTCAAGCTCCGGCCGCCTTCCCGGCCCAGGCTGGGTCTTTCCTCCTCAGAGCACCCTGGGCTGGCTTTGGAGCCCCTCCTGCGGGGGGATCTCCGGCCCTTTTCCTCCCCGCTGCCTTCCTGCGCCGTGGAGCCCTTCAAAACGGCCTCTCCCACCAGGGTCTCACGGGGGGATTTGTCCTCCGGGCTCTCCGTCCTCAGCTCGGGGCCTGGGGCAGGAAGCAAGAAGGACAGGGAGGGGATTTGCCTCCGGCCCACAGGGAAGGCCAAGGACATCCCCCCAACTCCGGCCCCGGCAGGACGGCGGCGGCAGCGGGGTTGTCCTGCAGCCGGGGCCATGCTGGGCTGCCAGAGCCAGCACAAGACCAAAACAAAGGGCCACTGACTTCCTCCTCACCTGCCTGGGGGGCCCAAGGCATCTTCCTCTTCCTCGCAGCCTCCTCCTCCATCCGCCCAAGCTTTGATAAGGACAAATCCTGATGGGGAGGAAAGAAGGGCTGAGCGTGTTGGCTTGGGGGTTCCTCCTGCCCAAGTCCATCTCTAGAACTCACCGGGCATCCTGGGACCATAAAAACCCCCAAAACACCAAGATTCAGCCCAGAAAAACCCAAACCACCGGGATTGAGGCAAAAACCCCCTCAGAAATAGCAAGAAGACCCTCGCCACCCCAAACTGCAAAAATATGAGATTCAGATAAAAAATACTTCAAAATATGAAGATTCAACTCAAAAAAATCTTTCCCAGAAGTTCCCCCTCCCTGGTACCTCCCCTCTGGGGTTTGGAGTGTCTCCCCTGTCTGGGATGCTGGGAGTGTTGGGGGTCCCAAGGGTCCCTTCTCCTCTGACTCTCACCTTCAGGGTGCCGTGTTCCCAGAAATTCCCCCTCTCCAGGTTCTGCACTCTGTTGTCCCGGGGATCCCAGGGGTCCCCACTGTCCAGGTTTCCCCTTCTCTGTGCCCCCCATTTCAGGTTCTCAGGGTTCTCACAGTTCCCCCCTCTCTCCAGCCTCTCCCGCTCTCCAGGGGTCAAGGCATGGGGACATCAAGGCACCCTCAGGGTAACCCCGCTCCTGCTCTCCGCCCTCCCTTAGCCCCCCTCTCCCACCCCTTTCCCATTGGTTCCCAAACCCCAGCTCCCCCCAGCTCCCTTTGGGGGTGACCCACCACCCCTCATGCTCCCTTTGGGGGTCCCACCCGCTCTCTTCCCTTCTCTCGCCCCTTTCCCATCGTGGCCGCTCCGCTCACCCAACAGCGGCAGGAAGGGCAGGGACGGGGGTGGAGCAGCAACAGCAACAGCAGGAAAACAATCACCCCCCCATCCCACGGCTGCCCAGGAAGGGGGAACTCGTCCCAGATATCCAGGGGGGAGCACGGGGGGTCGGGACATACTGGGGCTGCCAGCACAGATTTCCCTGCAAAGCCTGCAGTGAGTCAAGCTCTGCAGAGGAGATTGTGCCCCATGGATGGGATTGCAGAGGGTCCATCAAGTTCCCAGAATGAATCAGCAACCAGGAATAGACACAAAAGGCCCACCCTGAAGATTTTGGGGGCAGTGTCCTGTAGGGAGGGGACAGTGTCACCCCACCAGGGCAGAACTGGCAAGTGGGAGGCTGCTCCAGGGCTCTGCAAGAGGCCTCGTGCTCTGCTCGGCCCCAGCACTGGCTGGTCCCAACACCCCCGGCTGCCCCCGGCCCTGGGCAGCTCTGCTGCCACAGGCTGTGCCCTCACCGTGGCCCTGCAATGGCCCTGCCTGTCCCTCACCCCTGGCCCTGCCCCTGTCCCTTGGCTCTCTCTCTGCCAGCTGAGTGTGGGGCACACGGGCTGGGGGTCCCTCCCAAGCCCCCCGGGCAGCCGGCGTTGGCTGGGGGGATGTGAGGGCTGGGCCTGCTCAGCACAGCCCCGGCCTCGTGCCCAGCGCCTCTTTCCTGCCCCACACAAGAGCTTCCCGGCCCCCCCAGGGCTCCCCTGCTGCTGCCTCTGCTCCTGGCCCTGCCTTTGCTGCTCCCTTGCCTGGGCCAGCGGCTGCAGGGGGGGGGATGGCAGCAGCTTCAGCTCCACGGCACTTCCTGGGGGGAGCTCAGCCCGGGGGGGACGGGCAGGGACCTGATGGGGATGGACAGGGGCCCAGCAGGGACAGCCAGGGCCTGCAGGGGAAGCCACAGGGACAACCTGGCCCCCCACACTGCCAGGGCTGGCTCTGCTCCTCCTTGCAGGCTCCGTGCCCAGGCACAGTTTGTGTTCCTGGCTGCCACCATCTCAGCACTTGCAGCCGCTCAAATCAGCGCCCGCAGCTCTGCAGCAAAGCCCCAGCTCACCTGGCACACAGGGGATGGACACAGCACCTGCTCGGGGATGGCCACTCACAGCTTCGCTTCTTCCCCACCACGGGGCTCTCCTTCCTCAGCTCCACCTCTGCCTTGCACTTATTCTCAGCCTCACCTCAGGGACAGCTCTGGCCTCACCTCCGCGCCACTTCTCAGCCTCACCTCAGGGCCTGGGCTCAAGGACAGGAACCTGCAGGGAGGGGACATGATGTGCAAGCTGAGGGCTGCCTGCTTGCACTGGCCTCTGGGCTTCTTTCTCCTTCTACAACCACCTGACTCCACCCCCTCCCTGCCCAGCCCATTCCAAGGCCTGATTATTCTCTCGGCAAAAAATTGCTTCCCAATATCCAACCTAAACCTCCCCTGGCACAGCTCCAGACCCAGCCCTCTTGTCCTACTGCTGCTGCCTGGCACAAGAGCCCCACCCCCACCTGGCTACACCCTCCTGGCAGGGACTTGCAGAGAGTGATGGTTCCTGCTGGGGACCTGAGGGAGCCTCTGCAATCCCATCCCTGGGGCACAATCTCCTCTCCAGAGCTTGACTCACTGCAGACCTCGCAGGGAAACCTCTGCTCGCAGCTGCATCCTGAGCCCAAGGTCAGTTTGTATCCCCAAGTGCTGATCCAAGGGGTGCCCTGCCATTGGAGTGTGTGTCCCTAAGGAGGACTCTTGCCTTAGCATTGCTTATTATTTGTAATATCTTACAGATCTATCATACAATACCTCAGGATGGATTCTGTAGAATATGTGCCATATTTATGATACAGAATATATCTGATTATTGCTTTATCTGTCTGTCCAGACAGATATTGTGTATGCACAGAGATTGTATTGGAGGGATATGTTCCTCTCAATACCCTGTGAGCTCCACTCCCAAGGCCAGCAAATTCCTGAAGCTCCCACTTCTGTGCCCTGCAGGTTTTGGCAGATTTGCAAGAGCAGGGGAATCATTCCCTGCAGCCCCTTTGCACTGTAGGAAATGGGAGCACTGTGCACATCCTGCTGCCTCCAGATTCCATTCTGGGGGTGGGAACCACCCTGTGGGGAGCAAAGAAATGCCTGGTTCTGCAGCAGCTGCAGATGCTCAAGGGGCAGCAGGAACAAGTCAAGGACCTGAGGGGGCCTGGGGGGCTTTGGGGTGCGGGAGGGTCCTGGGGGAGCTGGGGAGGGGCTTTGGGGATTGGGGGTACAAACCAGGACAGACCAGGACAGACCAGTACCTCCTCACTGCTCCCCAGATCTCTCCTGGAGCTGGGCCACGTTGTCATGGGACACCTGAGCCCCCCCCAGTGCCCTCCCAGTACAGCCCAGTGCCCCCAGTACAGCCCACTGTGTTCCTGTCCCAGGGTGCCGGGTGATCCCTCTTTGGGGGGGTTGGAAGGGATTTGAGGGGGGGATGGGAGAGATTTGAAGGGATCTGGGGGGGGTTGGATGGGGATTTGAGGGAATTTGGGGGTCTTTGGGTGTATTTGGGGGAGTTAAAACAGATTTTGGGGGCATTGGGGCATCAAAGGGATCTGTGGGGGGAGGAGATTAAAGGGAAAATGGAGGTTGGGGACATTTGGAGGGGAGGTTAAAGGGGCCTGGGGGAGAGAGGAGGGGCTGCACCAAGAGCAGGTGAGTCCTGAGACCCCCCTGGTGTTCTCAAGACCCTCCCCACTGTCCCCAAACTCCATCCCTGATGTCTCCAACCCTCCATCTCACTCCAGGAGCCCCCCCCAGACCCTCTGACCACAAAAACATCCCCCCTCCCCACTCACAGAAAGGCCAAGGGCATCTGGGGACACACTGGGGACAGTTGGGGGCTTTGTGGGGCACTGGTGATTACTGGGGGATACTGGGACACACTGGGGGGAACCAGGGGGCACTGGGAGGGACTGAGGGAGAACTGGGGCACACTGGGGGACACTGGCAGAGAACTGGGGAGTTACTGGGGGATTACCAGGACACAGGGAAACACTCATACTGGGGGTTACTGGGTGCTCACTGTAGGATCACTGGGCCATACTGGGGGACAGTGGGAGGTCACTGGGACACACTGGCTGGTCACTAAAGGGCCTACTGGGCCATACTGAGGGTCACTGGGCTATACTGGGGGCACTGGGATCCCCTTACCCGGATGTGGTACATCTCCCCCCCGGATTTTGGGGGGCATCCCTAGGACCCCTCCCTTGGGGGCTGGGGAACCCCCTGAACCCACTGCTGGGCTTCAGGGGGCCCCACAAAATCCCCTCAAAACCCCTGAAATACACCCCTCGACCCATTGAAACCTCCTCAAGGTCCCCTCAAATCCCCTCAGAGACCTCATCCACCCCCAGGATCCCCTAAACCCTCTCAGTGACCCGCAAAACCCACCTGGGACCCCCCAAGCCCATTCAGGGACACCCCAATCCCTCTCACGGACCCTCAAAACGGTCTGGGACCCCTTAAACCCCCTAGAGACCCCAAAACTGCCTAAAAGGTCCCCGCAAAGCCCCCCACGACCCCCAAACCTCCTCAGAGACCCTCAAAGCCCACCTGGGACACCCCAAATCTCCTCAGAAACCAAAACCCGCATCAGAGACCCCCAAACCCCTTCAGGGACCTTCAACCTCCCCCCTGAGTCCCCTCAGGGACCCCTCAAAACCTCCTCGGGAACCCCCGAACTCCTCGGCTAAGCCCTCCCGAGCCCTCCAGCCTTTCCCCCCCCAGCCGCGCTCCCCGCACCCCCGAGGGGATCCCCAGAGCCCCGCTCTCGCCGCCCCCCCCGCAGCTCTCACAGTTCAGCGCAGCGACCGCCGCCGCCTCCACAGTCGCGGCCACGCGGACAAAATGGCGCTCGCTCTGCGCGCGCCCCGGCTGGAGAGCCCCGCGCCGCAGCCAAT